TAAATGATTAAATCTATAGTATTATTCATTATTTTCTTAAAAGATGTGTCAATTCATAAGTTGAAAAGTAATTAACGATAGGAGAGTACTACATAAGATAAAAACTTATAGGGTAATGTTAAATGGTCAGAAAATTTGGTTAGAAATTTAAAAGTCTATAATATCCTTACAGAAAATTACTCTTCATCCACCGATTGGCTCCAAAATGTCCTTCTCATTCACCTACTAGCTCCAAATTATTCGAGTCTAAATTGAAGTCCCAATTAAGTTTAGGTTGAGCCGGTTATTTAGCAAGACAATTTCAATATGATCCTCTTTCAAACTTGAATTCGAAATTTATATTAAAGGTAAAGAAGTAGTACATTCTGAATTTATTCATGCACTTTATTTAATATAATTTTGTAAATATTTATGATTTATTTTAAATATTAAAATTTTAATATATTATTTTTTAGAAACTTATCTATTAAGTAACATCACATGATTGAGACGAAGGAATAATAAAAATGAACATAGTCAGACTTTTAAGTTTATCCGTAATTTTTATTTAGACACTTGAATTATAATACGTTTTTATTGAGGACTTGAATGTATGATTATATATTTCAATAGACATTTTCACCTTAAAATTTTTTTAGGAACACTCATTGGCAATAACTTTTTTGTTGTTGCATTAGTAATAGGACGGATTTATTAATTGTATTGGGGTTAATTATTAATAAGTGAATAGTGAATTGATTTATAAATTATATTAATAAGTTAAATTATAACAAATAGTTGAGCATCACGTATTTTACAAATTTAGAGTTTTCAGCTATAAATGTCATTGTTGCACACAATTTCTCCTTCACGTGGCTGGTTAAGAATCACCAATGATTATGTTTTTACTGGAATAAAAAATCAACTTGACAGAGAATCCAATAAATCTTATTACCACGAAACTATGATCAGGGTGAGATTTAGGGCCATGACTATATATATAGATTTACGTGAAGTCAATTTAAAAAAAAAAAGTATTAAATGGTCAACAAAATGTGATCAGAATAGTAAAAAAGATTACTATAACTTTTCTTTCCAAAATAAAATTAATTTTTTATATTTTTAAATTAGTATGAGCATTTATTATTTTGATAAGATGAATTTTTCGATTCCATGCCTTATTCCTTCTTCAATTTTTTATTTTTATTTTTTGTCATTCCACTTCTCCTTCTTGACTTTTTTTTTTGCTCTTCTTATAAAAAAGAAAATTAGAATATGGTAAAAATAGATAATTATATTTAAGCACTTAAATTGGTTATAGTTATCCTATGAATGAAACAATAAAAGTATTTACTTTATGTATCTATTGGAACTCCATCAATGTAAAATATTTTTTTAAGAGCACAAAAAAAATCATAATTGGCTGAAAAAAATCGTAATTAATTTGCTTTAATGTCAAATTCTCTATGTATATATAATTAATACATTAATTATTTTTTTAATATGACTTAGTTTCAAATACACTCTATATATTTCAAATTTAAACATTTACACTCTATGTACTATAAGAAATATACACTTACACCTCCAACTAAGTTTATCTATAACTAATTATATTAAAATATAATATTTAATAACAAACTAAAAATATATTTTAAAAAATATTTATGTGATATTATTCTTACAAAATTAATTAGGGTCGATACTTATAAGTAATAAAAAATTTATGATGTCTGTAATGATTTGATGTTTATCATATATAGAGTGTTTTGAGTTTTTTCTGACTTTATTGAAATATTTTCAAAATTATACTTACAAAATTATATATGTATTTTAATTTTATTTGAACGCATTAGTTAGAACTCATATTAATAATAATAAACAAGTAGTAGTTCACACATTATCAAGTCAACATAATATAAGGGTGCAAAACTATCACATATGCGATATGATTGTTGTTAAATAGGATCAACACTGATGATATATATGATTTTTATAATATTGTTATATTTGTCATCTCTAAAGTGTTTCGAGTTTTGATTGTCATTATTAATAAAGTTTTAGATGTTATGTTAAAATATTCAAATAAATAGTCTAAATTATTTAAACATAATAATTTATAAATTTATATATTTAGACGTCATATTAATAACAAATATGAGTAATGATCTATAAGTTATCAAATTTGATGTAATATAGTGCGTGACTATAATTAACATTAACATGTTACTCTCAGGGGTTCTCAGCAATATGCAATATTAATAAAATAAATATGGATTCTGAAATTTACAATTGAATGACAATGATTAATATAATTTTTCACTAATTAATTAACTATTTAAATATCGTGTGTGTTTTTCTTTTAGAAAACTAATAATATAATTTTGGGACATAAATATGTTAAATAATTATTAATAATAATGCAATATCCGTGGTGGTGTCTTGAAAGTTATTTCTTATTATATAATTATCTTAATATCAAGATTGACTACTCTCTTTTTAATATAATACTAGCATTGATATATATAGAATAATCAAATAAGATATAAAATATTTTTTACATTTCTTTACTATACCATGTTGTTTGTTTGATGTTCATAATAATAATATTGTGTAGATAATGTTGGATTATTATTAGGAGAAAAAGATTTGATATACTCCTTAATTTTGTAATATAGAGATAATGTCTATTCCGTAAAGAAAATGTTACATATATATTTATCGTTACATGAGCAAATTAAATAACTCATATATCCTTTTTTGACTAACGAAAGTTAAATTTCAGATTTTAATTTATTTATTTTAGTTAGTTAACCAAACAATATTCACATAGAGGAAAATCAGATAGTTTTTTCACGTAATTTTATTTTTGAGTTTTTTTTATTCAACGGTTAATTTGGGTCTTAATTATCTCCCTTATGAATATATTTATTTATCATTATTTGGGTTTGTTGTTCATGTTTAATTTTTTTGCTTTCATTCTTTAGTGTAGAAAACATGAGAATTAAAAAGAAACAAAAAAAAATAGTGAATGAAATAAAAATAACTTGTTTTAATAAAAAGCAAACTAAAATTAATAATTTTTTGCGGTTATATTGAATTTTATTTTGTAATTGTAAAAAAAGTTGATGCATCTATGATAGACTTTGTAAGAAGATAAGTGAAAAATTAAATTTGATCATCAATATAATATATCAAAATTAGTCATGAAATTAAAGAAGATTAAAAAAAAAAGACAAAAACTCATGTATGAAGAGGATCAAATATACCTCAAAGTATTTCGAGAAGGGTCAAATATACGTTTTATATTTTTATTTTGTTAAAAAAAATTTAATAAGTTTTTTATTTTTATCAGCGAAAAATGATCTTGGCTCTTCAAACATACCTCAAAATATTATGAGAAGGGTCAAACATGCCTTGTATAATTTTTATTTTATCAAAAAATAATTTTAAATTAATTTTTTGACTTCTTCAACTAAAAAAGATTTAGCTATATTAAAGTTATATATGTAACAATTGAAATAGATGTGAGCCACTTCTTTTAACAAAAAGTATATTATCTCTAAATCACAAAGTTGAGAAATATAATTTTTTAATTATTATTATTATTAGTAGTGGTAGTAGTATAATAATGTAAATGACCAATATATATGACACTTTTGATTAATAATTTTACTTGTTAAGTTATTTTATGAATTTTTAATTTGAATTGCGTGTGACATAAATTTATTTTAAATTTAATATTATTAGTGTTTATGTTGTTGTTAAAATTTTAAATTTTATTCTTAATTGTAAACTTCAAATTTGTGTTCTTTAAAATTTATATTGAAAAGTAAAGGGAAAAAAAGAAATTATTAAGGCCATCATTTTGTAGACTTTTTAAAAGAAATTGAAATTCACATGTAATTATGAGAATCTGGAACAAGTGTAATCCCCATGCATTGGGAAACTTTTTATGTATTAAAAAATAATTAATAAATTTAAGTTTAAATAAGGGTAAAACTGTCAAAAAGTAAACCTGTTTATAGTGTGAATGTCACATTTTGGCCATTGTGGCGAAAAAAATCTGGCCAAAAGGAGTTTTCCTAAAAAAAAAAAAGAGAAAGAAAAGAGTGATGAGTAGGAGAGAGACGATAAAGAAGTAAAGAAGTAGACCCAGCATTCAAGTATCAATCAATGAAGGGTGACTCAACGTGATTGAGGCTCTAAAGCAAAATTTTAATTGGGGGCATATATATATTTATTCAAAAATTATATTTTTACGCTATTTAGATGAAATTATCAGTATTCTAATATTGTTTTTTCAGATATTAATTTTAGGTATGATTTTATCAATTCAACATTGAAAAATATACTTTCAGTGAAGCAATTATTATATAAATTTTTAACATAATTATATAAGTAATAAGTTGACAAATATTAAATAAAGATAAAAGTAAGAACCATATAATTTAATGCAAGAAGTTGATGAAACCCCATTTTAATATACTCATAGTAATGTTTGAAATTAAAATTTTAAAAAAAAATAAAATTGTAATTTACTTTGTTTAAGAACTTTCACTATTCATTCTTATTTTTAACAAAGTACAAAAGATGTAAAAGTGAATAAAAATAATTATATTTTTTTAGAAAAATTATACCTTTTATATAAATAAATAATTTTTCTATCAAAATTTTAACACATAATTTACTCTTGATAAAAATTTAAGGCCTAAAACAAAATTCTTATTTCCCAAAGCATAGAGTTAGCCCCGCATAACTGTTGTTGGTATGCCTCTACTGTTCATTTTTTTTCTATTATTCATTTTAAAGCCAACTAAAAAAAGAAAAATATCACACTAAGAAAGAAAATAGTACATACCTCAATAATGAAAACATAAAGTCAAGCTATAGGCCCCAATTATGGCCACTGATACTACCGTGGTGAATTAATTTTTCTATAGAAATTTTAACACATGATAAAAATTTAAGGCCAAAAACCAAATTCTTATTTCTCAAAGCATAGAGTTAACCCCTCATAACTGTTGTTGGTTATGCCTCTATTAATTTATTTTTTTTTCTGTACATTCCTTTCAAAGCCTTAGATGCCACTTCTATAACATCAATAGTGAAAACATAAAGTCAAGCTATAGCCCCCAATTATGGCCAATGATACTACTGTAGCGCCACTTCTAACATCAAGAGAGAACAATCACGAAAATGATGAGCTCCAAAGCCCAAAATTCAGACCATTTTCACATGGTTCGTCGTCTAATAATTCAGATGATATCAAAGAAATCGACGGAGTTAAAGACTTAGTTCGAGAATTTTCCGCAGAATCGAAGAAACTATGGAACCTTGCTGCTCCAGCCATTTTCACTTCCCTTTGCCAATACTCAATTGGTGCCATAACTCAAGTATTTGCTGGTCATGTTGGTACCATTCAACTAGCTGCTATCTCTATTGAAAACTCTGTCATCGCTGGTTTTTCTTTTGGCGTAATGGTACATTGATTTCTCAGACAAATACTCAATTAATAATTTATCATTTCGTTTTCTCTTTCTGATATAACAACTATTAGTTTTGAATACCACACTTATTGTGATTTTAGTTGGGAATGGGAAGTGCACTGGAGACATTATGCGGACAAGCATATGGAGCAAAGCAATTAGAAATGCTCGGAACTTATATGCAACGATCTTGGATAATCCTCACCTCTACCGCTTTAATTCTACTGTTCCCTTATATTTTTGCCACGCAACTACTCAGATTCATCGGTCAGACTTCCAATATATCAAAGTGGGCAGGTATATATATAGAGGCGAATTTAAGATGGATTCTATTTATTTAATATAACTACATACTTTTGTATTCTGAATTCGTCTCTACAGGTACATTTGCCATATGGATGATTCCACAATTATTTGCGTATGCACTAAACTTTCCGATTCAAAAATTCTTGCAAGCTCAGAGCAAGATTATGGTGACAGCTGTTATAGCGGGGTTTGCTCTTGCCGGACACACTTTGTTTAGTTGGCTTTTGATGCTCAAGTTAAGGTGGGTATTGGCGGAGCCACCTTATAGATCGGGTTCATCTGAATCTTTTTTGGCAAAAAATTATATTATTTATATATAGTTAAAATAACTTTTTTAGATATATATAATAGATATCAAACCTCATTCGTGTATCTATTTTTTCAGATTTTGAACCCTATTATTGAAATTTTGATTTCGTCACTGAAGGTGGGGACTTGTGGGTGCGGCGGTGGTGCTGAACAGTTCATGGTGGTTCTTAGTGGTGGCTAAGTTGGTGTATATATTTAATGGGGCTTGTGGAGAAGCTTGGTCTGGATTTTCTATGAAGGCTTTTCAAAATCTTTGGGAATTTGTTAAACTATCTTTTGCATCTGCTGTAATGCTCTGGTGAGTTTCTTGGTTTTTATGTTTATAGTGATTTTGAACCTACTTAGTGAAAAATTTGGGCTCTGCAAATATGAATTTCAATTATTTAAGCTCAAACGAATATAAACAAAATAGATAAAATAAGTTTTTACATATCAAACAAGGTTTTAATACTTTTCAGTTAGAGTTTTGGATCAAGTTCACTCTCTTTGCTTCTTCTTCCTTAAAACACTAAAAACACATGAAGACACAAACAACTTTCAAATTTTTTAACATTTTTAATTCTTTACGAAATCATCTCAAATTTCCAATTTTAATTATTTTTGAAATTTGCTCTAATTAAAATGTGAATGAGAGGGTCTATATATCACAAGATGTGCTAAAATTATGGTAGCTAATTAGTATTAAAGACAGTATTTATTATTTATTGCAGCTTAGAGATATGGTACTTCATGGCATTAATTCTTTTTGCTGGATACCTCAAGAATGCTGAAGTGGCCGTGGATGCAATTTCTATTTGGTGAGTTTATATTAATATCTTTGTACTTTTTTTTAAAAAAAAATTGTCTAAAATATTTTTAATCTGTTCAAAAAATAATGTCCTTTTTTTAATTATAAATTTTGATTTTTTAACATATCATGTATAAGACTATAAATTAAACGAAAAAGGGTTAAAATTGTTCCTAAACTATGCAAAATAAATCACTTATACCCTCCATTATATTTTGGAATAAAAATAACACCGCCGTTATTCTAGGAGACCACAAATACCCTCAAGAGTTAACATCCAACTTTTTAGTGACGCAGCTGTGGAGTCCATCCCATATTTTTAGTCAATTTTTACTATTCAATTGTTATAAGTAATTGTTAAAAGGAATAGTAATTGGAGTTGAAAATAAAAAATTAGGTGTTTGACAAATTGGTAAAATTTTCAATCATTTTTGACTTTATTATATTTACCTATGTCAATCTTCTCTTTCTATAAATAGTTATTGCTCATCTATAGAACACATCAAGTTAGAGAGAAAAACCATTTTGAGAGCAAAGTGAGGTATTCCATAGAGTGTACAAGAAAAATAGTCTATGAAGAAAATAGAGTGTGAGTGATATTTTAGTAAGGTGGAAACCAAAAGAGTGTTGTTCCTTTTGAGTGTGTAGTAGCCAGTTTGAGTATTGAATTGTGACAACACAGTGTAAAATTTCTTACTATAGTGACATCAGTTGCTCCTCTTGGCCGGCCCGTGGTTTTTTCCCTTATTTAGAATGATTTTCACGTAAAATTCTTGGTGTCATTATTTTCCCATTTTATTTCTTTTACTTTTATCATATATATTTTTATATTTATATACTTTTTCCCAACAGTGACATGCCACATTGGACTAATCCCTCCACCTAAGCATTGTCAACTAGGATTCACTACAAAAAAAATTAGACCTTAGTCGCCACAAAAGCCCGAAAAATCGTTACTAAAAATTTTTAACATTAAATTCTAATTTTGTGTTTTTATCTTCATTGTTTTTAAAAAAATTAAAAATGATATCGATTAAGTAGGAGTTTGAAGACATTGTATGTTTTATTTTTATGTTATATATAAAAGTATAAAATGTACAAAGACGAATTATATAGTAGGAGATGTGAATCGAGAAGTAATTTCCATGATTTTTCGTAATAATATTGAGTGTTTTTAATATTGATATTACAAGTTATTTATTTTAGAAAATTAGTTTACAATCAAAAATTAATTGTCATATTTTTTTTGTTGAAAAAATAGGTTTTATTAGCAAATTGTTGTTGGAGCCTTAGTCGTTACTAAAAGACACTTCTAACCTTTAATGGCAATATTTTGGGATTTTGTGGCAACTTTGTGGCCACTATAAGTCAAGTTCTTTTGTAGTGAATCTTAGTTGGCAACGCTTACGTGGAGGGATTAGTCTCATGTGGCATGTCACGTCACTAAAAAATTGAGGTGTTAACTCTTGAGGGTATTTGTGGTCTCCTAGGATAACGGTGGAATACTTTTGATCCCAAAAAGTAATGGAGGATATAAGTGGTCTCTTTCGCATAGTTAAGTACAATTTTGACATTTTTCTATAAATTAAATAATAGTTTGATAATTTTTTTTACATATTTTAAGTTTAAGATCAAAAATTCAAAAAAAATATTTTTAAAAATTTGTTTTAAATCAAAATTAGAAGATATTAGCATGATTTCACTAATTTGGAATGAATCCAAGTATTCTAATCGTTTTAACATGACAATTGTAGACATATATTGCTTGAACTTTTCGAAAATATTGATATAAGTGTAATTTAAAAAGTAATATATTTTTAAAAGATTCAACATAAATGTGGCTGCATATTTGGGGAGTTTTCTGAGCAATATTGTTGTGCACCGAAAGGTGATAAGATTCTTTTTTTATCTATGCAATAATTATGCCATAGGGAGCAAAGTCGTCACGAACTTAGAGTATTTGATAAGATTCCATGTGGCCCTCGATGAATTACTCACTAATCTTTCAAGATCTTGTAAGTTCAAAGAAGCCTTCAAGACTTGGAATGCTAAGAGAATGCTTGAAAAAGAACTTAGAAAGAACAAAAGAGAACTTTGGAAGAAGGTTTTGTATTATTCTTGGAGAATGCTTACAACTTGCTTGATTGATTTACAAATGAGAGTCCTTCTATTTATACTACTTCTTAGGGGTCTAAAGTGTAAATATAAATTACTGACAAATCCCTAAGTCATTACACTTCAATCCCTATTCTAGAAAAGTCTACACTTTCTAGGATCTTCCAAAGAATTTCTTGAAATGTCTAAGTTATTAGAATTCTCTAGCCTTTTTTATTAATCTAGAAGGTTCTAGAGTTCTCCGCAAACCTCTCCACAACTCTAGACCCTTACGCCTCCATCCGGACGCAAAATTTATTTATGATGTGGCGGGACGTGACACTCTGCCCCACCTATTGATGCGACGAACGCGCCGCATCGTCACTTCACCGGCTACTGAGTCTTGTCTTCTCGTACGCGTGACCAATAGTCCATTGACTCGATCAATGCCCTCGAGTAACTCATTCAATTGCTTCTTTATCTCCTCTATCTCGGCCTCACGATCTACCTCCTTCCTAGGAGACAAGCGTCTCGACAGCTTCCTTGGCATCACAGTATTATCCTTCCTCGTGCGTGGTGGCGAGGCCCCTTTGGCAACATTGTCTTCTTCCAAACTTGCAATGGTGGTTGTGAATGTCGTCCTCTTTTTCTTATTGCTTTTCTCGAGCTGCATGGCCGTTAGTCGCACTTGTCCTTCCGTCTTTGGTGCCTTACCCTAGGAGAACCATGGATGTTCCTCCTTGCTCCATGACCAGAATTTGTTGGAGGTAAGAATCGATCACTGCGTGGCACTGCTAGAAGAACTCTTGCCCAAGAATTACATCAAAGAGATCCAGAGCAGCGACAGTGAAGTTGTTCTTACCTTGCCACGCCCCTAGTGTGATGCTTACTCCATGCGCGACTCCACTCACGGGAGTCGGTGGTACATTGACCGTCCTGAGTTGGGCGTTACTTGGACTGTAACGCAGCCCGAACCTTGTCGCTGTCGTCTTGGTCATGATATTGACCTTTGCACATGTGTTGACCATAGCACGAGCGGGTCTTCCATTGATTGTGATGTTGACATACTGCACGCTCCATATTCTCGACTTCTTAGGTTGCTTGGTGATAGCTCCGCATAGTCCTATCAAGCCCAACTGCATCTTCTCCGCGTCTTATTCTTGCTCATGTGCTTCCTTCTCTTTCCACTCTTGTAGAATAGTACCAAGGCTGTTCAGCTCAGGTCACCTCGCATAGCCATGCGACCATACTACATATGTAGCAACCACTTTTTTTGGCAACCTCTGTCGTTCTCTGCGTGTTGCCATGACATCCAGACTTCTTGACATCAGGCATCATGTTTCTTAGGATGTGGGTGTTGCTCCTCGCCTTTGCCACGATTTCCCCCACAATTGTCATGACTACCTCTCATCTCATTTCCTATGGCTATGTCGAGTTTCTCGTGCCTGAAGTCTGTCAAAGCTTCGACATGCGTGATGGCTTCATCAATAGTCCTGATTTGTCGTCATTCCAACTCCGTCCTGGCCCAATTTTGCAGCCCATCCATGAAGTGGAACAACATATCTTCATCTGTGAGGTTGGGAATCTGAAGCGTGAGGGTGGTGAACTCCTGCACATATGCGCGTATGCTGTCCGTATGCTTCAGTTCCCTAAACTTGCGCTTTGCCTCATAGATAATGTTGTTGGGGAAGAGGTTTTCTTGAACTCCTCGCATAATTGCTCCCAAGTGTTGATGGTGCAACGCCCGTTCCCTATTTCCGACTCTTTACGCCTCCACCATAGCATGGCCATATCTGAAAGGTACAACACAGCTGTGTTGATCTTATTTTTGTCGTTATTCACTCTTATACTTGAAGTAATTCTCCAAGTGCCACAAGAAATTATCCACCTCTTGCGCGTCACGGACGCCTTTGAACATAAGTGGCTTGGGAGCCTCGACCTTGGCCTCCCTATCTCGGTCGAACGACGATGATCCTCCAACTTTTGCGCCTTCCTTGAGTGTTTTTAACTCGGCCTTCACGGTCTCAATCGTGCTCAACGTCTCCATGAGTCGATACTCCATGGAAGTGATAACCTCCTTCATCTCCAACTCGACCCGCTGGTGACCCTCCAACTCCTTACGGATGCTCTCGATCTCCTCAAGGGTGAAGTCCTCAAGGGTCTTGTACTTGCCGTCGGCCACATTCATGCGCCGACCTAATATCTCCACAGCCTGCCTTGCCACTTCCACCCTTGCGACCCATTCTTCTCCAGCGGTGACGTCTATGGCGTCTTCGCCCATTTCGTCGTCACTTGTTTCGGTAGTCGATAGTGGATGAGATGTTAGTGCCTCGCTAGGTGTGGGATCGGGCAGCACCTCCTCATTACCCTTTTGATGTTTCTTCCCCTTTCGGTTCTTCATTCCGCCATCCATACGGATGTTGGTGGTACTAGTTCAATCTACGTCTCCTTCGGTAGCCATTCCCTTAGTATCAAACATCGCTCTGATACCACGATATCACGGACTTGAGTATTTGCTAAGACTCTGTGCGGTCCTCGACAACTTACTCACTAATCTTTCAAGATCTTGTAAGTTCAAGGAAGCCTTTAAGACTTGGAACGCTAAGAGAATGCTTGAAAAAGAACTTAAAAAGAACAAAAGAGAACTTTGGTAGAAGGCTTTGCATTATGCTTGGAGAATGCTTACAACTTGCTTAATTGATTTACAAATGAGAGCTCTTCTATTTATACTACTTCCTAGGGGGCTAAAGTGTAAATAAAAATTACTTACAAGTCCCTAAGTTATTTACATTTTAGTCCCTATTATAGAAAAGTCTACACTTTCTAGGATCTTCCAAAGACTTTCTTGAAATGTCTAAGTTATTCTAGAGGAATTCTCTAGCCTTCTTGATTAACCTAGAAGGCTCTAGAGTTCTCCGCAAACCTCTTCACAACTCTAGACCCTTCCGCCTCTATCCGGACGCAAAATTTAACTATGATGTGGCGGGACGTGACAAAAGGCCTATCCAGGATTCTAAAAGAATTAGTGCACTATCACAAAAAGATACATCTAAGATATTAATTTGATCACTTTGATATTTAGATTTTTAATTAACACTGGATCGTTAAATTTTAAAAAATTATAGGTCCAAGATATATAATACTACAAATTTAAAATTTTAACATATCCATTTAATTTAACTATATATATATAATTTATAGTGCTATTTTTTTAGGATTTTTAAATGTAACACACTTGAAAATTTTGAAAGATTAAAGAAAAACATAAGAAAATTAATTGAAACACCAAAAGTGTTACGATAACGACTTGGAGAAGTGTTACTAAAAAAAATAGATATTAGATTTAAATTTCTATTATTATTTAAAGAGGTGCACCCAATTATCATTGTATTATTTGATACTTTGAACCAGGGGCATAGCTACACTCATGTCAGGGACACCCTTTGTTTGAGAAATTATATAGTATATACAAGTAAAATGATAAACAAAGTGATTAATTAAATAACATATTTTGAATACCCTTGACACGACATTATGATGTAACCCAATATTTTAGGCGCCTTGAAAGAGCAAAGACATGCAAAACTTAAAGTGCTTGAGTGTTTGAATCTCACTAGTAGTAGGGTTCACATCATGAACGTCGAACCCCCCTTGGACACTCCCCTTATCCTTAATGTGAAATTTTACGATGTAAATCTAAATTTAGTCAGACTTCAATCTGGTACTAAACAATGGGAAAAAAATAGTTAGTAAATTGTTGACTGGAAGCAATTGTTATTCGTTTATATTTATTTTTGACGATTTTATGTACTATTTGATTGCAGCATGAATATCCAAGGGTGGACAGTTATGGTAGCCATTGGATTCAATGCCGCAATAAGGTAATGTAAATTCTAAACGTTGCTATTATAGCAAAGCGCGTAACAATGTTAACTGTTAAAATGTTAACGTACAGCGTAAGGGTGTCAAATGAACTCGGTGCAGGGCATCCAAGAAGCGCAAAATTCTCAGTAATGGTAGCTTCCATCACATCTTTATTATCCGGCATCTTTCTCTCGACGATTCTACTTGTTTGTCGGAGTTGGTATCCTCCATTCTTTTCAAACAATGAACAAGTACAACAACTTGTCTATCACCTCACTCCTATCTTAGCAACCACCATTGTTATTGGATGTCTTCAACCTACTCTTTCTGGTACTTATTTACTACCTTCTACTCTTTAATTTCGATGTTTTTGTACAAATCGATGAAATGGAAAGAATATTAAAGATTTGGAAAGTATAGTCACGTCAACAACTTAGCTTAGATGATATATCTAGTGTCTCTCATGTAAATATGGCACATCGTAGGTCTTTTTGCTTTGGATGTTTGAAAATGAGTTAATTGATAAAATGGAAAGAATATAGAAGATTTGGAAAGTATAGTCACGTTAACAACTCAGCTTAGATGATATATCTAGTGTCTCTCATATAAATGTGGCACATCATGGGTCTTTTTGTATAAGCTGATGTATCTAGTGTCTCTCATGTAAATGTGGCACATCATGGGTCTTTTTGTTTTGGTTATTTGAAAATGAGTTAAATTCATATTAAGTAGTGTTAATGTCGATAATACGTAAGATGAGTTGTTGATTGGGACACTTTTTTGTAATAAATCAAAAGTTTTATGTATTAATCGACTCCAACTAGTTTAGAATTAAGACGTGGTTGATGGTCTAAAATAATAAAAAGGTTTTGTCATTTAATTGTAGATTTGTTGCAATTGTAGGGGTGGCCATTGGAGCAGGGTGGCAAGCTTATGTTGCATATGTGAACATAATTTGTTACTATTTGTTTGGTATTCCAATAGGTCTCATACTTGGCTTCTTCTTTGACATTGGCGTTATGGTACAATTTTAATTTTTGTTTTGTCTTCACTTAATTATTTTTTTTAAAAAAATATCCTTAGACATTATATTATTTAATTAATTAATACATGTTTGTTCATGAAACTTTGTAGGGTATTTGGTTTGGGATGCTTGCAGGTACAACTGTTCAAACTGGTGTGTTAATCATATTGATCCTTCGAACTAATTGGAACAAGGAGGTAAGGCCTACATCAAGAATAAATTGTATAGATTATTCGAACGTAATGATTCTAATTATCTTATAAGTGATCTGATTGTAAAACTTTTTTTTTGGGGTCATATCCAATACAGGCTTCCCTTGTTGGACATAGGATAAAACAATGGGGAGGAGATTCAAGGGCCAAAGAAATTGATGAACGATAGAAGAATAATGTTTTGTTCGTTTCAGTCATGACTACTTCGTTTACTAAAAAGAAACTAAGAATAAGCTTTTCATCATGAAAATTAAATCAAGCCAAGGAACCACAAGGTTTCTTATGACATTTTATGTGTATAAGTTGGAATTATATTGGAAGCAAAATCTGTAGTTGCAACAACTAAACTTCCAATCCAACTTGATTTGTTAGGATGCCTAATTTGGAGATCTTTTTATGTTTTAATTTCTTTTTATCATGCATTCTAATTAGGAAAAATTTAGACTTAAATATTGTCTTTATAATTGATTTTTACGTGTTTATTATTTTAAAATTAGATATTCATTTTTACTTATCACTTTTAACATATAAAAAGAGATAAATTAATTTTTTCATGCTGGGATGTAAACAGAGCGTGACAGGTAGACCTATTAAGGTATCACCCCATCTCAGTCCGCCCCTTTTAGCATTATTAAGAGTCTTGTCTTGTAATGACCCGGAAGATCATTTTAAAATTTTTTAAAAAATTATCATTTTATCCATTTCGAAAGTTGTCTCGGGTCAATTTTTTAATCAATTTCTGAAGTTGATTTTGAATGTTGATCGCAAGGTTGTGATTTTTGAAAGTCTTGAGTTCTGAAAAACTTAAATTAATCAAAAATAGTTTTCGATAACAATCGGAGTTTCGAATCTTGAAATGGAATTCTATCAGCTCCAATATGTGAAAATGATTTAGGAGTGTTGTTATTTCTGATCGGAGATGTTTCTTTGTAATAATTAATAATTTAAAATATTTTTAAAAATATATATTTTGAAGAACTAGTTAAATTTTGAAATTTTATTTGTACAACAAAAATTGTGACGAGGTAACATATATTATTTAATAATTACTTAAAAATTTTCATAATAATTTACAATTTATAATATTTTAAAAATTATATAACAAACCGTGCTCTTTGTATCACATAAAATTATGAGAAACAAAGTACTCCCTCCGTCCACAATTGTTTGACAAGTATACTAAAAATAGATATCCAAGATTAATTGTCAATTTAAACAATCAAGAAATAATTAGTCATTTTTTTCCATTCTTGCCCTTAATAATTACTCCATTTTGTTCATTTGAAAAGTTACATAAACTTTTGTTATTTTTGATATAGTAAAGTTATACTAAATAAATTATACCTTGTATTAATTTTTCCTTGAAAGGAGTGCATAATCTTACCTGACAAAAATCGTAATCGGAGAAAGTAAGAAATAACACTTGTTATTAAATTTACCATCTACTATATGTATAGTGGTTGGGGAAAAGAGAATTCTTCAAGACTTGTTAACTTCGTGCTTTTGTGGGCCACGGGCGTACACTTTTTTAGGAAAATTATGCTAAACGACAAGGGAAAATTTCATATATGGCAAATGAATTTTATGAAATTACATTCCATGGGTATAGTTTACATAATTACATTCTATGGGTATAGTTTAGTTTTTAGGTGACTTTAAATTTGTATAAAATATTTTTTAATTAAATTTATAAAAAAAAATTATTTTTTTACTAAATGCTAACAGCAACACAAAAGATGGTAACAATAAATTTACATAATCCATGATTTAAGCAAAACATTCAAAATCAAATATTTTCCTAATTTTTTTAGATAAATTTATGAAACACTCGGACGTATATATATATGTATATGTATATATATATGTATATGTATATGTATATATATGTATATATATACACATATACACATATATACATATATATACATATACATATATATATATACATATATATATATATGTATATATATATGTATGTATGTATATATATATATATATGTATGTATGTATGTATGTATACAACTCTTTTGATCATTTCTTCGCATGTACCTGCAGTAGCATTCAAGTAATGCCCTTTGATTTCACCTGTTTCAGCCTGTGCTTTAAAAAGTGCTTGGGCACAGAATAAGAAACGATCTCTCCAACGCATAAATGGTTGTGAGTTCACGTTCTCATCATCTTTGGTAAAATCAAGTCCACCGCGAAGAATATATATATATATATATATATATATATATATATATATATATATATATATATATATATATTTGAGAAATTGTATATAATTTTTATACAATATTTGTGTGTAATTGATTTTGTGTTTTAAATTGTATATGACCATCATAATATTTATTCTTTTAATTATTATTTTTTTGTAATCTGTTTGTATACAATATTTTATTATGTTCCTATTTTTTCTTTTGTATATATCTAGGAATTTGTATAATGTACAATAATTTTGGTATATATATTATAGATATATATATGTGCATCTGTGATTTCATGTTTTTTTTAAAAAAAAAAATATTAATGATTAAACTGATTGTATATAATATTCATTTGTTAATTGTATATATAGTAAGCTTGAAATATGTTTCTATATTTGAGTGTGCAACGGTTATATATACAATATTTTATTATATTCATAATTTTTGGTATATATCGACGAATTTGTATAGTGTATTATAATTTTGTATATGTATTATAGAGTGATTTCAACAAATTTCTTTATACAAAATTAAATAATTGTATACAAATAGCTATTGCCTCATAAGACTTTGTATATGTTACCTTAATATACAACCCACTATATACCTAACTTTAGTAATTGGTATACAACTAATAGAATATACAATTAAGAACTGTTTCATAATACTTTGTATATATTAACTTAATATACAAACCAATATATACATAACTTTGTAATTATATAAATTACACTACCTGATGTTCCCGATATTCTTCAGATTTGTCCAGTTCTGATGAGGCAGATTCAATCTCTTCTAAATCAATGTTTATGGCTTTTCTCTTACTTCCACCTTCAACAATCTTAATGCCACTGGATTTCGTGTTGTTGATGACTTTATGAATTGCCATTGAGTCATTTTTTTTTCATGGATCTCAATTCTTCAATAGATTGTTCAACTTAAACTTGTTTATGTTTTGCCATAGACCCTACATTGACCCAGAATCCTAAGTTAACCCAATTGTAACGAAGGTGGATTATCAACAACATTGACATGCAATGACATACCTCTCGTAATCCTCATAGATGGAGAGAAATCATCTATTCTGATTTTGAAAGACTTGTAATTTGATAAGTAATAAAGTTTTTTTTTAAAAAAAATATGAAAAAGCTAACAATCATACTACATATACAATTGTTGTAGAAGGAATCAAGAAAAAAAATATTGAGAGCCATGAATTTGGCAGTTACCTGCGAAAAGTGAAAGAACATCGGAGGGAGAAGGTCAAAATCTTCCCAATGGAAATTCAAATTAGAAGGGAAGAGTAATTTTAGGAATAGATATGAAATGAGAATAGGAGAGATAAATTTGATTTTGAATAAAATTATATAAAAATCTTAAAAATGACTATGTTTATTCTGTATACAAATAGATAGTAGGTCCCATTAGTTATGCCAAAAAAATGAAACTGTATTTATTGACCGTAAATAAATTAAACTATACCCTTATTAACTAATTACATAGGATGTTTGTCATCCCATGTAATTTTCCCAAACGAGAAACATCTAAACTATATATCATACAATATAGGTATAGTTTTGATTAATTTTTATTTGTAGATATAGTTCTGTCAAATTTTACTATTTGGTTTTTAATTATATATATTTAAAATTTGTATAATTTGATTCTTGATTGTATGTAACGACTCGCTAGGTCGTTTTGAAAACTAGAATTATTCCAACTCTTTTCAAAAAATTTAAAGGAGTATTTTAATCTATTCAGTAATTACGAGTACATAATTAATGAAATTTTATTAAATAATTAAAAATAGTTAAGAGTTAGTGGGTCAGTCCATAATTCATGTAGTACCTATTTATACTTGACCCATGTATGGAATAAACTAAGTAAAGTGGGGCTAATAATTTATTCGTCAGAACTCAAAATATTAACATAGGGCAGGAGAAAGCAGTTAACTACAGGGTTATTCCAATTCCCAGGTAATGCGCTTTAGATTTTCTCAATCCTTGTATATGTAGTTGTGTGATACATAGTGATATAATAGTATTTTTTTTTCAAGAATAGGAAGAAATCAGGTCATTATGTTGGTATTGTTTGAAAAGAATCAATCAAAGTGGAAGAAAATTAAATAGTTTTAAGTAATGATGCCAGTGATTGACAAGAATTTGTATGATTCTTAATGGACGGCATTCATAATGTGATGATTTCCTTTGATATGCAATGAGTGGTTGGTATTATTTTTTATGGATTTCTTTTTTAATTGAAAGGCATGGAAAGTGGGTTACATTAAGTAATGAGGTTGTTGGATTAGAGTAGAGGAAATTGTTTATATTAATTATCAAGGTTAAGTATTGAATAATGTTTAGGTATAATCATTGGGGGAAAAAATGGAAAATCATTGGCAAACAAACGTGTTTGCATATCTAAGAAATTTCATGGCCATTATCTTACTTAATTTTTCATAGATTAAGTTATAGCAAATTAATTATTGGCCTTAAATTTTTTATTTAATTATTTATTTATATAATTGTCATAGAGTAATACTTCTCGAAGTTTATGGGTATAGCTAATCAATTTTTGAAGGTATCGTGTTACATGAGTATCATTAGATTCATAATATTTAGAGGAGTTGAGGCTTAACACTAGGTTTAAAATTTAGCAAATAGGATCTTTGACATATAAATTGTATCGAGAGTAGGAGCTTGATTGGAGATATGAGTGAGTTTTGGAGTTTAGGTTAGACATATAATAAATTGAGTACCTATGAACTCGCTTACTTATGAATATTGCACAATTGGTAGATTTGGAATGTTCCGAAGCACTGCGAAAAGAAAAGAAAAATCTTGAAAATTCATTACACGAGTTTGGCATTTAAGGTATGTTAAGACTTTCAGACTTTTTGAAGGACATTTTCCTAATTAAAGATTAAAATGGAATAGACAATGGGTAAGGGTGAAAGTCCCGTACCAATGGTGTGACGGGCATTGGTACGAGTACCGGTGTTATAAAAAAAAAGTTATTGCTATAGAATGTGGATTGTAATTTGTGAATGTCAAAGCATATGGGCATTACCTGATATATTATTGATTTGAATTCCTTGTGTGCTTGTGTATTCTTTATTACACCTATATAGTTGTGATAATTAGGTGGTTATGTATTATATTGATATTGACTTATTGAGATGCATCATCATCCCCTTATTTGAAATAATTTTGTGCACATACATTGACATGAGATTGAGTATAAGTTGGGCACGTGGAGATC